CTCACAAATTCTTGAAAACCTGAGAGGATCAATAGCTAGATCCTAAATGAGCTCAGAAGAGTTTAAATGTTAGGTTAGTTCCTATCAGTTCATGACTCCTGACTCCGTTTTGCTCTTTCGTCAAAACTGAGCCTCCTAATTTGCCTTGAGTGAAAGTGGTGCATTCTTTAAATATATTAGTAAAAGCAGTGATCAAGATCATCAGTAGCAAAGTGGTACATAAGGCTGGCCAAGTCATTTGAACTGTCACTTTGCCAGGTGACTACATCCACAATTATCTATGCATGTACACATATATTTAGACAAAATGGAGAGGATATGGCATATCAAGGGCTCTGAAGTAGTGACAGTAGTAATAGTAGTCATCATCATCATCATCATTATCATCATCACTATTGTGGAAAAGAAAAAAGTCCAGTTCATTGATATTGCAATACCAGGTGATGCATGAATTGAAGAGAAACTGCTAGAAAAAAGTAACAAAATATTATGATTAGCAAATAGAAGTTGAGCGACTATGGAGGAAGAAATCAATGGCTGTAACAATAGTAATAGGAGCCCTTAAAGCAATACCAAAGGGCTGCCTAGATACATGGAAATTGAGAACTTATTAGACCTGAATATCTTGACTTTGCAAAAAAACACCCTACTTGGAACTGTCTATATACTCAGACACTACCTTAATAGCTCTTAGGTCCTTGGCAAGGACTTGAATTGGTAAGTTTTTACCAATCCCAGACCTGTGAATTGAATTGAATATTAAATCTTAAATAACAACAACAACAACGAGTTGGAAGGGACCTTGGAGGTCTTCTAATCCAATCCATTGTTCAGGCAGGAAACCCTATGCCATTTCAGACAAATGGTTGTCCATTTGTTGAGAGTGTGGTTGCACAGCAGTTTCCCTGGCACCTGGAGGAAACGGTCTATCTAGACCCTCTCCAGTCGGGCTTCAGGCCGGGGTACAGCACGGAAACGGCATTGGTCATGTTGGTAAATGATCTCTGGAGGGCCCGGGACAGGGGTTATTCCTCTGTCCTTGTTCTTTTGGACCTCTCAGCGGCTTTTGATACTGTGGACCACAGTATCATGCTGCGGCGGTTGGGTGGGTTGGGAGTGGGAGGCACTGTGATGCGGTGGTTCTCCTCCTTCCTCACCGACC